TCAAAGGGCCCCCCATACCCCCTGCAACTGTCTCCCCAAAGAAGAAGCCAGCAGCAGCAGCAGCAGCAGCAGCAGCAGCAGCAGCGCCAGCAGCAGCAGCAGGCACAGGGGAGCTCTCCAGGAAGCCCAGTAGGATAGAGAGGAAGCCGAGTAAAGCAGCAACAGCAGCAGCAGCAGAAGCCCTTGGGGGGGCCCCTGCTGCTGCACCTGCAGCAGAAGAAGGGCTGCTGCCTCGTGTCTTCAGGTCAATCTGGGCACCCCAAGAATCAGCAGCAGCAGCAGAACCAGCAGCAGCAGCAGCACCCAAGCGCAGCAGCACGAGCGTGCTGCAGCGATTTGTATCGGGGCCCCTTAGTTTAGTTGTTTCTGGGGAAGGAGACAAAGGAGACAAGAAGGACAAAGGAGACAGAGATAAGGCTCCTCTGTCTCCTCGCCTTTCAAGGTCTTCAATAAGCAGAGGAGACAGCAGGGCCTCTCTAACAAGGGGCCCCTCCCGTACCCTACTGTCTCCTAGGGGGCCCCCCCAGGAGACACTTCGTCGCCAGAGCTCTAGAACACTTGTGTCTCCTCGAAAGCAGCTGGAGACCCTTTCTGCTGAAGAGGGGCCCCCCGCTGTAGGGGCCCCCCAGGCAGATAGGGGGCCCCCCCGCTCCCCCCGTTTGATGAGAAGAGACACTTCGGAGACAGTAGCAGCAGGTGAACACGGGGCCTTCTCTAGACAGGTCTCCAGGACGCTACAGTCTCCACGCGCTACTGCTGCTGCTGCTGCTGTTGCTGCTCCCCCTACTGCAACAGCAGCAGCAGGAGCATCACCAGTAGCAAAGGGGGGGCTAGTCAGAAAGGAGACACGCACTCTGCTGTCTCCCCGAGATGCTATTACGATGCAGCGCTCGGGCTCCCGTACCCTCCTGTCTCCTCGCCAGTTAGAGGAAGGGGGGCCCCCTGGGGGCCCCCAGGGGGGCCCCCCTGCGAGGAGCCCCAGCAGGAAGGCCTCTGTTCTCTCTCGAAAGGAGAGTGCAGCCTTTCTGTCTTAACTGACTCCTTCAATTAGACACAATGTGCGTCTTGCTGCTGCTGATGCTGCTGCTGCTGATGCTGCTGATGCTGATGCTGATGCTAGTAAGGCTGTGGAGATTGCTGCTAGGGACAGTGGGCTTATGTTGAGTATTTTGCTGCTGCTGCTGCTGAGTCTAGTGCTGCTGCTGCTGCTGATACTACTGCGGCTGCTGCTGCTGCTGATACTAGTGCTGCTGCTGCTGTGCTGCACACTATAGCGCATACACCGTTTGACTGCATCTCCAGCCTAAACCCTAAACCCTAAACCCTAGATAGACAGATAGAAAAGACCTGATGAGTTGTATGAAGCATCTCTGCGGTGGGGAGAGACGCACAAGGAGACAGGAGACAGCAAAAAGAGACAAAATAAACAGAGGAGACAGGAGACAGTTAGTAAAGAGACAGTTAGTAAAGAGACAACTAGTATGGACAGAGTTAGCAAAGAGACAGGAGACAGACAAAGAGAGACAGACAGCTCTCTCGTTTTCTTCCCTAATAATAATAATAATAAAAAGGAGACACTCAGATAATGTCAGCAGCGCCACTATCTCCTCAAGCAGCAGCACCAGATGAGACAGCAGCAGAAGTATCTTTTGCTGCTGCTGCATCTTTTGCTGCTGCTGCATCTTTTGCTGCTGCTGCTGCTGCCGCAGCAGCAGCCTTTTTCTTTATTTTTTTGCTGAAGGATCTTTTGCGGCTGAAAGCAGCTGCCACAGAGTGCTGCTGCTGCTGCTGCTGCTGCTGTTCCTGCTGCTGCTGTTGTCCTCGTAGGGCGTCTACTAGGTGCTGCTGCTGCGGGAGGAAGAAGGAGACAGCTGTCCCCTGTCTCCCTGCTGCAGCAACTCTTCCTACGCGGTGGAGGTGGCTAGCAGCATTGAGTGCTAAGTCAAACTGGACAACAGCAGCAACATCTTGAATATGCAGTCCCCTTGCTGCAGCATCTGTGCACACCAACACAGCAGCACCTGCTTCTGCTGCTGCTGCTGATGCTGCTGCTGCTGTTGTTGCTTCATTTCCTGCTGCTCCTGCCGCTGCTGCTGCAGGCTGCTGCAGCGGAGCTGCAGCATTAGAGAAGTCTTTAAGAACCTTCGCCCGGGTTAGAGGGGGGAGTTGTGCTGTGAACAGAGACACCTGCCGCTGCTGCTGTTGCTGCTGTTGCTGTTGCTGCTGTTGCTGCTGCTGCTGTTGCTGCTGCTGCAGTCTCTGCTGCAGTCCCTGGGCAACCCTTTTGGCTGTTGCTGCAGTGTTGCAGAAGACAAGCGTTTTGAGGCCCTTAAGGGGCCCCTCCAGTACCCTCACCAGTCTCTCTATTCTGTCTCCTTCTGTCTCCTCAGCAGCAACAGCAACAAACTCTTGCTGCAGCCCCTTGTTGTGGCAGTGCAGCAGATCTGACTGTACAAAATACATCTGCGGAAACTCACGCTGCAGTATCGCCTTCAAACCCCTTGGGGGCCCCTCCAGAGGGGCCCCCCCAGGGGCCCCCCCAGGGGCCCCCCTAGGGGCAGCAACAGAGGCCCCCCCAGGGGCCCCCGGATGGTCAGCAGCAGGGGGCCCCCCAGGGGCCCCCCCAAGGGTAGCAACAGAGCTGTTTGGGGGCCCCCCCTGGCCTTGTAGTTGGGGTAGGGTTTGCTGTGGGGGCCCCTCTAGGGGGCCCCCCTTCTGGGGGCCCCCTGCAGGAAAGCCTCTGGAGGGGCCCCTAGAGGTGGCGCTGAAGGGGCCCCTGGAGGGGCCCCCCGGGGGTACGGTTGCTGCAGCAAAGATATATTGTATATGCGGCTTTCCTTCGTTTGCTCTCTGTTTATCTGCTGCTAAGAAGCGCTGCAGCAAGGAGACAGTATACTTTCTGAAGCCCCCATCTAGCAGCATATCTGCTTCATCAACAACGATAGTCTCTGCTGCTGTAAAGAGACACTTCTCTCGCTTTGCTGCTGCAGCAAATGCATGCGGCGTGGAGATCAGCAGCGGAGGGCACCCGCCGCGAGAGGGGCCCCCAGAGGGGCCCCCAGAGGAGGGGGCCCCCCCAGGGTACGGCCAAGAAGTATAAGAGCCCAGCAGCAAACCTGCTGCAGCAGGAGAGACAAAAGGAGACAGTTCAAGGAGACGCTTGCTCCACCCTAAGACCTGCAGCGCGAGTTCTCGAGTTGGGGTAAGAACAACAGCAACAGGGTACTTTGCTGCTGCTGCTGCTGCTGTTGCTGGTTGCTGCTGCTGCTGCGGCGAAAGGAGGTAACTTTTTCTTCCCCGGCCTCCTCCCCCCTGCTGCTGCAGCTGCTGCTGCTGCTGCTGCTGCTGGCGCTGCAGCACAACGAGGCGCTGCACCAAAGCAATAATGTAGCTGAGGGTCTTGCCGCTGCCTGTCTCCCCAGCCAGAAATGTGCTGCAGCCCCGCAGCAGCAAAGGAAGAGCAGCAGCTTGAAGGGGACCAGCTGCACGTACACCCCAACACCGCAAACTTTCACTTACAGACGGAAGCATACCCAGACGCACAAAATCAACGCTGCCAAACCCCTGCTGCTGCTGCTGCTGCTGCTGCTGAGGCTGTTGCTGCTGCGGCTGCTGCGGCTGCTGCGAGTGCTGGTACTGAGGCAGCAGCAGCTGCTGCTGCTGCTGTTGCAGGTGCAGCTGGTGCTGACTATTCTCTTCTTCGTGCTGCTGGTTTAGCTGTTGCTGTTCATTGTAGCTTTGTTGCTGCTGCTTTTGTTGCTGCTGCGCTGCAGCTGCCGTTGAGGAGACTGTGTGTAGGCTGCGGCAGCAGCTGCTGCTGGGCGTAGCAGCAAGGGGCCCCTCCCTGTAGGGGGCCCCCCTCTGGGGTACAAGGAAGGAGGGGGCCCTATAAAAAGAAGGAGACACTTTAACTGAGGCCTTGTCCATGCAGCAAGGAGCTGCATCAGAAAGGAGACAGTTGCAGGTAAGGAGACAGTTGAGCAGCAGCAAAAGATATACGAGCAGCCAAGCACACAGCAGCCTCAAAGAAGGGGGCCCCCCTGTGGCGCCCCCCAAGAGGGGCCCCCAGGGGCCCCCCAAGAGGGGCCCCCAGGGGCCCCCCAAGAGGGGCCCCCAGGGGCCCCCTATTAAAACCCTTTGCTGAACCCTCCCCCTTCTTCGGGGGCCCCTGACAGCAGCAACAACCATGGGGCCCCCAACCCTAAAGAGCTTAAAAGGAGACAGACACAGCAATTACTCTTTATCTTTGTCTTCATTTTATAACATAATCAATATATTATTTCTATTATTGTTGCAAAAACAAACAATAACCAAACACCTTCATCCGACAGGGGGGCCCCCTCGGAGGGGCCCCTAGGGGGCCCCCCTGTGGGGGCCCCCTTGGGGGGGCCCCCGTAGAAGGAGACAGTAATGTAGGATTGTAATATTTTGTGTGCTGTTTTAGATTTGTTTTGTGTTTTAATTGTAATAGAAAGAGAAAAGGAGACAAAAGAAGACAAAAGGAGACACTTAGATTGCTTGAAAGGGGACAGAGGAGACACATATATAGTAGATAATATATATATATATATATATAGGCATATATATATAAAGGTCAGGAGACAGAAGGGGATATATATATATATATACAGAGGGAGAGATAGAGAGACAAAGAGGGGCATTCAGAGACAAAAGGAGACAGACAGACAGAGAGACAGAGGGCGAGAGACAAAAGGAGACAAACATACATAAGACAGAGAAGAAGAAAATGTAAACAATCAAACAAAACAAATAAAAAAACAAACAAAACAAATAAAAAACAAAGCCAAGATATTCTCCTGCACATTGTGTGGCTTCTCACCGCTTTAAAGGGCGAACATCATGTACAATAGTAATTAATAAGCAAATGCATAAATATACTTATATATATAGTATTTAGCTATATATATAGATGTATATATATATAGTATTTAGCTATATATATATATATATATATATATATATATATATATAAAGAGTAA